CGGCGCCGCCCTGCAGGCGCCCGTCGTCCAATTCTGCGCAGCGACGCGCGCGGCAAGTCGGCCGCCGGCGCACTTCAAAGCACGTTGGGCGCTGGCGCCCCCAGAAGCCCCCAGGGCCATTGGGCCGCCGGGGAGGGCGCGGGCGGCCGCCGCGGGGCCGCTTGGCTCGTCGTCGAGGCCGGGCGGGGGGGATCAGATCGCGGGGCCCCAGCGTGCGCCGTGCAATCCGGCCAAGTTTTATGCGTGGTATACGCTATGGCCTTGAGAGTAGCGCGTGTCGCGGTTTTCGGGCGGGGCGTGATCTGGCTTGCAACGGGCCGAATGGCCCCCGCAAGTGCCAGCGCCCTTTCCTGGGATCTCACACCCCAACGCAAAGACGGGCGCTCGGCACCTCCAGGGGTGCCGAGGGATCAGCGGCCGCTGGGATCGAGCCAATCACCGTCGTGGCGCCATGCCAAGTCACCCCTTGCCGCGGGCGACTCGACCCCCGCGTGTCCGCCGAAATCGCCGCGCCAACGTCGCGCGGCGACGACGTCGAAAGAGGCGGCAGACAGACGCGACATACCTAACCCGGTTGGCAGGGAGCTTGCCCTCATTTGCGCGGATATATTTGGCGCAGTTCCCTGGCCCCGTCGTGGACAGGATGGCGCGTGTCCTGAAGGTGCATGCGTCGACTCCCCGCGCGAAAGATGGCGGCGCATGCTGACAGCGATACCTGGGGTATATCATGCGCGCGATGTGCGACTCGCTGGCGGGGCATGCTAGCATCGGACATCCCAGGCACAGTGGCCGAGCGGGTGGCGACGTTGCGGTGGCGCAGCATCTGCAGCGGTCAAGCGACCACGTTCGTGATATGATTGAAGTAAGTTTTTCAACGTTTTATTGTGGCCCGTGTCTGCGAGACGAATGCCGACGACTGAGCACGTGCAGCATCATGAGCTCGGGTTGCGCGATGCTGTCAGGGTGGTGATGTGCTTGATTTTGTTAGACTTGAGCGATGGGTTTCAGTGGATGTTGCGACCACGGGCGCCGCCGCTGGCGGTGCGGGCTGTGCACTAGGCTCTTGGATACGCACCGCCGCGCCTGTGCAGCGGGCCATGCGCAGCCCTCCGCCTTTCGTGACCTTCGTTCAGGGGCTGACCACTCCATTGGCAGCAGCCTCAGACGCGGGCGGCGCCCGCACAGCAGCGCGCGCACCGATTTTGCTTCCAAGGTTGACGACGCCCCGAGGACCTACTTGAACCGGCCTGCACGCGAGTTCCGCGTCGGCACCCTCGGTGCCGACGCAGGGCTGGAAGCGGCGCCCCTCGTCGTAGGGCGCGACCGCGGCCGGCGCCGCTGGGCGGGGGGCACCTCCCCCTGCGCCCGCGACGCCGGCCCCCACCGCGCCGCGCGCATTCCCATGTCTTCGCTGCTTAAATGCGGACGTGGGCGGCGTGGGATGTCGGGCGGGCGCCTGCCTCCTCGACCCCCGGTGGGCCGTTGGCGCGCGGCGTCGCGGACGCGGCGGCGACTTTTGCCAACGCGAGCGCTGCAGGAGGGAGGACGCGGGGGGGGCGCCAGGATTGAAGCGGCCGGTGCGCCTCGAGGCCCCGCCCGAAACCCGCGCCCCAGAAGGTCGTTCCTTTTTGGGGGTGGCCCGGGCCCCCGCTCGGCGTGGAGGAAAACCGAACAAGAAAAAACGCGACGGGCGGCCTGCGGCGTCTCCTGGGGGCGCCGGTCAGGGCCCCGCGGGGCCGTCGTTGCGCGACCCGCCGCGGGCGCAACGCAGCCCCGGGGCATCTGGTCGAGGGCCATGGAGCCAGCGCCGGGATGCTGCGGCGCGGTTCTTTGCGCTGGGCGCGCGCGCGGGCGACCCGCGGTGCGATGGGATGGCCTTCCGCTGAATTTCCGAAGGCCATTTCTGAAGCAGACGGACCAGAAGCGATGCTGACCCATGGTTTGACCGAGCACGGAGACGGCCCCGTGCGCGTTTCACGCAGGCACCAACGGCGACGCCTGAGGCCCAGCGCAGTCACGACCGTCCCCAGGCCAAGCGTTCATTCCATCGGACTGCTGGCGGCGTCGTTGGAGGCTCGGGGAGGAAGGCCGCGTCCACTGCCGCGCGGAGGACGGCGGCGGCGGCGGGTGACTGCTCCTGCCCCCACATGGGGCGCGGAGACACTCGCGGGGCGATGCCTGGGCCGAATGGCTGCCCTTCCACAAGGGGGCTGGTGCAAGGGCGCGATGTCGCCCGAGCTGGTCTGCCCCCGTGTCGCGCAGTGCAGGGCGCGCTGCGCGAAGATGGGCAACGCGGTTGCGGCGACAGCCACGACGACGTGTTTCGACGCGGTTCGACAGCTGCGCGGGCGGTCCCACCCTCGCCTGGGCGACACGCGCGGTCGCGGGGGGCAGACGCCCTAGCGCGCCCGCCGTCCATTGGGCCCACCCGCCCCGCAGCGCCGCGCGTCACACCGAGGCCCCAGGACACGGCCACACGGGGCGGGCCAGCCCTCGCCCCCTCACCCTCCTCAGGCCGCCAGGCCTGGCGCGGCGCCTCGCCGCCATCCTGCCACCTCCGCCGCCGAGGGCCACCCGCCACTTAAGGCGCCCCCATTTTCCCCAAGCCGCCTCCGCCTCCGAGGGCGACCCGCCTCACATGTCGCCCCCGACCGCCCCCCACCTCACCCTCCTCTAGGCCCCATTCGCGCTCACTTTCACCGCGTCGCTGAGCACCGGAGTGCCGTCCGACTCCAGCTCCAGCACGGCCCCCACCGCCGCGAAGACCTCGACGAGCTTGGGCGCACGATTCGAAAAGGAACCTGCCAAGAGCACTGCCACCGCGGCGCGGCCACCCTCGGCGGCACCCTCCGCCCACGCACGGCGGCCGAGGCGCTCCCCGCCGCGCGCCGCGCAGGCCGCCTCGTCGAAGAGGCCGCCGTGGGGCGCCCGCCCGTGGGCACAGCGGTGCGACCCTGGCGTCCCGTTCCGCCCTCGGGGTGCTGGCTCCCCGGCCTCCTCGCTCGGCTCGCTCTCCTCCGACCCCTGCCGCGGGCCCTCCGTCGACGCCTGGCGCACGGCGCCGGCGGGTGATGCGCCAGGCACAGCAGCGGCCGCAGCCGCCCGAACGCCCTCCCCCACGTTCGCCGTCTCGTCCGCCGCCCGGCGCCAGCGCCGCGGGCCCCGGCGCCGTGCCGATGTCCTTCTGCGCTTCTGCCTGCTTCTCCACCTGTACCTCCGCCTGCGCCTCCCCCGCCGCCGCTGCCTCCCCCCACAGGGCAGCGGTCCCCCGCAGGGGCCCCAACGGGGAGGGAGCGGAGGGGGCCGCCGGCGCGCCGGGCTCGGGCGCCCACAGCGCCGAGACGAGTGCCGCGGCCAACCGCGCGGGCGCCCCGCCAGCGCCGCGAACGTGTCGAGGAGCTGGAGACAGCCCGCGCAACCGCACGGCGATGCCCGGCGCGCCGCCCCGCCGCCGAGCGGTTGGGCCGCCGCCGAAGCCGTTCCGGAGCGGAGGAACCGTACATGGGGCGGAGAAGGGAACTCCGACCGTGCGGGTTCGGGCGTCGAGCCAGGCAGGCTCGGGCCGAGCTGGCACTACGACGACGACGACGACGACGACGAAAACGAAGACGAAGACGAACACGAAGACGACGACGACGACGACGACGACGAGCGGGAGGATGGGCAGGCTCGAGAGCACGGGCTCACAGGGAGCAGACAGTTCCGTGAGGGCATCAAATCGTTGGGGGCGAACATGTTCAAGGCAGAACTTCCGGGTGTTGCTAGGAGGTGCCCCTGGCCCAAAGTGTCCCCAGGAGTTCCCAGGAGGCCCCCACGGCCTCCAGACGAATGGAGGATGACGATTAATAAATGACCGGGGGTCGTGTTCACGCGGCGGCGCCCGGGATGACGATTAGAAAAAACCGGCCGCGGGCTGGAAAACTATGTTTTTCATCGTTCTCCTCCAGTCAGAAACTTGTGCAGAAATAGCAGGAAACTCTTTTTTTAATCGTTCCCCCCCACCTTATTAATTAATCGTCATCCCGCATTACTCCTCACGGGGCCCAGAGGGCCCAAGGGATTCCAACATTGAGCGACAATTTGCGAGCACCGTGGGCCAGGGGCACCGCTAGCCCCCCCCCCGAAAACTAGACACCGAAGCGAGCATGTCTTAGAAGGGAAGTATTGCTTGGAGGGTACTCCAGATTTCGTAATAAAGGGGGGGGGGTCTCGTTTCGGGGGGGGGTCTCTTCCAGGCTATCTTGGAGGGCCTGGGGGGTCTGGGGACGATGTTTTGGAGGGTTCTCCCACGGGGGAGGTCTGAAATGGCTTGTCTTGGAGGGTCCAGACCCTCTCCCTTTTATTACGAAATCTGGACTACTCCTCGCGGGGCCCAGAGGGCCCAAAGGGGATTCCAGCATTGACGACGACGACGACGACGACGAAAACGAAGACGAAAACGAAGACGACGACGACGACGAGCGGGAGGATGGGCAGGCCCGAGAGCACGGGCTCACAGGGAGCAAACAGTTCCGTGAGGGCATCCAATCGCTGAGGGCGAACATGTTCGAGGCAGAACTTCCGGGTGCTGCCAGAAGTGCCCCTGGCCAGGCGCCCAAAACATCCTCCAAACCCGCCGATTCTCAGAGATTTCGAGTTATCCCGATCCGATGTTGTCCCGATCTTCGCGTCGTTTGACAGAGGGCCCAAGGGATTCCAACATTGAGCGAAAATGTGCAGGCACCTTGGGCCAGGCGCACCTATAGCACCCCCCGAAAGCTATACACCGAAGCGAGCATTTCTCAGGAGGAAAAAAAACACAGACACAATGAATCGCCGATTCCCCAGGAAATATAGGAAAATCTGGGAAGTGGGGGGGAGACAGAAACCCAGAAAATATGGGAAAATATGGGGAATATTTTTATTTGTGTGTATTTATTTGTGTGTCCCAGGGCCTCTTCAATTTCTTAGAAGGGAAGTATTGCTTGGAGGGTAACAAATGTCTGCCCTCAGGCAGCAACATGCTGCCCCTGGACGAGCGCCAGATGGACACGGACTGGTTCGAGGGCCTCTGGGAGCATTGCCAGACCACCGACGCGGACAGCGACGTGGTGGAGCCGAACACGCTCATCCCCCTGTTCCGCGAGATGGTGGCCAGTGCAGCTCAACTTGACCTCAAACCATCATGTGTGCAGTTGGGTCTTCGTTTTGTGTCCGCAGAGCCCCGCATCCCCATCCCTGAGTCCTTCGTCCCCCATTTCTTCCCCTCACTTCCTTAGCCTCTGCTCTCTGTATGTCCTCCTCATCGTCTTTGTCGTCATCATCATAGTCGTCATCATCGTCGCTGCTGGCATGCATGGTCATCAGCATAATCGTCAATATTATCGTCTAGCTCACCATCGTCATCATCATAGTCCTCATCAGCATCCTCATCATCAGCAGCATCACCACCACCCTCACCATAATCATCATCATCAGCATAAGCATCATCATCGTCATCGTTATCGTGATGGTCATCATCGTCGGCATTCTCAGCATCATCATCTCCGCCATAACCCTCATCGTAATCATCATTATCATCATCAACCTAAGCACCATCCTCCTCATCCTCATCATCATCGTCACCATCATCAGCATCACCATCACCATCAGCATCTTCATCTTCATCTTCATCTGCATCTTAAGTTTCATCACCGTCATCATCATCAGCAGCAACAACATCATCACCATCGGCAGCATCATCATCGGCATTACCACCACCACCACCCTCATCATCAACAGCATCAGCATCATCATGAGGATCATCATCATCAGCAGCAGCATCATCATCATCACCATCATCATCATCATCATCATCATCATCACCATCATCATCATCATCATCATCATCATCATCGCCATCATCACCATCATCATCAACATCATCGTCGTCGTCATGCGCCCGTGCTCTGGGAAATGGTGGTCAGTGCAGCCAGTTGTGTTGTTTTTTTGTTGCTGCAATTTGCTTTCTGGGCGGGGGTGTCTTCGGGGGTGGCTCTCGTGACCACGTCGCCGTCGCCGGGCGTCGTGAACATGGATTCTGGCGGGTTTGTTGTCCTCTTTGTCGGCCTCCGGGGACCGTTCTTCGGCCCCTATAGACCGTCCTCCCTGACAAAAACTTCAGCGCAGAATCAGCCCTGGGGATGGGCTCGAGGGTTCTGAGGGGCCCACGTCGTAAAAACACCTGGCGTCGGAGGTCTCCATGGGGGGCTGCTGAGAGGTCTTTTGCCTTTCAAGGCAGCGAGTCGGGCATTTGACGGCGGCGTTGCGTTGATTTTTTGAGGCGATCTAAGGCCCCCGAGATGCCTCCATGCTGCACCCCTCTTTCTGGGCCTCGCCAAGGTGGGCATGCCGAATGAGGAACAGAAGTATCGGCTTGAGTGCGTCGCTCCGTTGGTACCGCCATTTATCAGCCGGTTCGCGGACATGCTCAAGGAGAAAGAGATCCCGCGAGAGCTCGCCGACCTCAAAGAGGTTCTGAACACAGTGCTCCTCGACGATTCTTTTGTGAACTCGGATTTCATGGAGGAGATCTCCTTTTATCCTTGCCTCCTCGAGTTCGCGACCAAGCGCGCCACCATCTCCGATGCCAGAATTTCTGCATATGCCGCGCCCTGGGAGCCGATGTCTCAGGACCCCAGGCAGTGGATGTGGATAATCAGGTACTCTCGGGCTCCTGAGGGGCCCACGTGCAAGCCTCAGTATCCGTTGCCTCCTGCGGCCCGGGGGCGTCGGCTCCCCAGGCGGGGGATCTGCATATCATGCTCCGGCCTCGGATCCATTCACGCCGTCTGCGACCGCGTGAAGCTGCAGATGGACTCCGAGGATCAGTATCGTGCAACCGATCCCAATCCCCATCCCCATCCCCATCCCGAGCCCCACCATCCCACTATAGTGGGATGGTGGGGCACGTTTTGGAGCCCTCTTAGGACCGTTTTGGAGCCCTCTTAGGACCGTTTTGGAGCCCTCTTAGGACCGTCCTGCCGTTCCCCCAGCCCTCCCTGCGAGGGGCATATCCCCAACTCGGGTATACCCGAGTTGGGGATATGCCCCGCGCAACCCAAAGGGAGCAGCCTACACCCTCATCTAGGGGGGCAAATCGGCCAGCGGGGCCCAGGCCACGCCAGTGGGGACAGGGATGGAGGAGGGAGGAGGAGGGAGGAGGAGGGAGGAGGAGGGAGGAGGAGGGAGGAGGGAGGAGGAGGGAGGAGGAGGAGGAGGAGGAGGAGGAGGAGGATGCTCAGAGGACCCCATCCGTCTCGTGGTGCCGCGCGACAACGTCTTGGACGGCGTGTGCTCCTCGCTGAACCTGCAGGACCACTCCGCGCACATCGACGTGCCCGTCGAGATCGAGTTCAAGACCGGGCTCGTCGACAGCGCAGGCCAGGAGCTCGTGGACGAGGGCGAAGACCAGGGCGGCCTCCGTAGGCAGTGGCTAGACAGGGCCTCGCGGCACTTCATCTCCTCGGACCTGTTCCGCAGCCCCTCCTCCTCCTCCTCGAGCACGGCCGGCGTGGACGCTGGCGGCATCGCGCACCAGAAGCCCCGGGGCTCGGTCTTCGTGCCCTCGCCGGAGTCCGTCTGCAGGCACGTGCAGGACGACTGGGAGGAGCAGTTCGAGCTCTTCGGCTGCATCCTCGGCTTCGCCCTCCTGCACAAGGACTTGGCATCGGCTGCGGGTCTGAGGTGACCCACCCACCACTGACTCCGGCCAGCAGAAAAAACATCAGGGGGGGGGGTAGGCAAGGACCCCCCCCCCTGGTGCGTTTTTGTATGCTTGAGCGCCCCCTGGAGGCCTGTCGCCGCCACGGCTGGGCGCGGCCCGCGAAACGTGTGCGGCTGCACCCCTGTGAGGGGTCCGGGGCCAGATGTTGAGCTGGCCTGCCCTCGAAGCCCCCCCCCGCCTCTTGGCAGAGCTTCTCTGGGCGAGTCTTATGATGTTCCAGCCTACTTTAGCCTTGACCACGAGAAAGAATTTCGAGCCCCCCCCAAAAAAATCCGAAACTCAATGGTTTTCACGTGTCGGGCCCTGGGAGACACCCGTCCGACACTGTTTCGACACTGTTTCGACACTTTTCCGGGCGCTCGAAATTATTTCTGGGAAGTGGTCCTTAAGTACGACAGGAGCATCATAAGGCGACTCCAGCTCACGCCGGCCACCTCCTGGCAAGGACACCGTCCCCGTGCACTTTGGGCACAACTTCCTGCGGGCGGTCTTCGGGATGAAGACGGGCCCCCAGGACCTGCTGCCCCTGCTCGAGAGCGTGGACAAGACGCTGCACACGAAGGTGAAGTACGTCCTGGACGGCAGCTACCGGGGCCTCGGCGACTCGCTGCAGGACGTGCTGGAGCAGGCGGGTCTGCCCCGAGTGTTCGCCGTGGACGAGTCCTCCTGCGCGGGCCTCGTGGGCGACACGATGCTGAAGGAGAGCGGGGACCAGATTGCGGTGACGGAGGAGAACAAGGATCTGGGCCGTCCAAATCTCAGCGAGCGAAGAACGGTATAAAAGAAACTTTTTCGCTGTCGGGGGCGCCTGTGCCTGGGCGGCTGGAAAGTTTATACCCCTACGGTGCCACCGTAAGGGTATAAACTTTCCAGCCGCCCAGGGACAGGCGCCCCCGACAGCGAAACAGTTTATTTTATACCGTTCTTCGCCCGTTAAAAATCGGGCCGGAGCAGACGGGGTCGGTGGACCGCGCGGCAGCGCCGATGCATCGGCGACAGTGCTCGAGTCGACGCTCGATGGTGTCTGTTCCATCCCGACGTCGCCGATGCATCGGCGAGGCGGAGCGATCCTCCAAGCACATCTGCTCTGAGCCCTCGTGTGATGAGCTGACAACTAGCACCCATACCTATGCGGCCCCCAAATTTCTCGTGGTGGGATTCTGGGGTGGCTATGTGTGTGTGTGTGTGATTGTGTGCCTGTATTGTCGGATGGGAGGGTCCCGCTCGAATGGGAACTCCCCTCGGGGTCCGGCAACTCGCACCCCCAACCTCATCAAGCAATTATGAACTTCCCCCCCCCGCCCCTCCCCTCCGGCGACAGTATAACGCACCCGGCACCCCAGAAGCGTTATACCCTGGCACCTCGCACCTTTATGTGAACGCAGACGAGTCTGCTCGCCGAAACAAGCAAACCTCAGTCTTTTTTTTCTTATTATAATTATTAATAGTAGTGTTCTTCTTCATGTTCGCCTTCTTCTTATTATTATGCTGATTATTCTTATCATTCCCAGCTAAACAGAACAATCCTCCTCCTGCTCCTGCTTCTCAAGACTCTCTTACGGCACGGCACCAACACGAACAACGACAATAATACCAGCAATAATAATTAAATCTAGAACAACAAGGCCAATAACAACACCAACAACAACCTCAACATCAAAACACCAACAACACCGCCAACACCAACAATAGCAATAAGTCTCACGCATGGGAGAACCCAGCTTTGAAAAGGAACCGTCCGTGCCTCCGATGGGGGGCGAATAATGTTAACGGTGCGGGTACTTAGATAACGCGCCGTGCGTGGCGGGGGCGATATCCTCGGATGCACTACCCCACACGACGGCCGGGAACAAAAACAATCTTTCAGCAGGGGTGGCACTACAAATCTTATAGGACAAGGATGATGAAGTTCATGGGAAAACAACGTGAAGTATCATTATCATTGTTATTTTCATGTTTTATTATAGTCTGGTAATTATTCTTAATCGCATTACCTGTCTTAATCTTATTCTAGATATGTTTTGTGTATTATAATGTTTCGTATTATTCTTATTTCCCGTATTAATACTTCTTATTCGGATTATGATTATACTTATTAGTTTTGTTATTCGTAGTATTCGTACTAGTATTGTTATTATTAATACTATCGTCAATATTCTTATCATTATTATGATTATTCGTAGTTCACTCTTAGTATTATTTATATTCGAATTCCAATTGGGATACCCCCCGAGCCCTGGCGCGAGAATATTTGCTTGTCGTTCAATTTGCGCCGCGCTAATCATATCGTTCGGCGAAAACCACCCCCCAGAATTATTTAATTACGGTGCGGTGCTAATGATAACCCAGGGGTGTCCTTAATGGCTTGATGAGATTACCTAGAACGTCTTAATCGCCTTGCCCTTCCCCATTCATTCTCCCTGTAGGTTTGAGCGTGAGCGTGTGTTGTTCTTTCATTATGTTGGGCGGCCTTCAAAGGAGGAGTTCGTGGAGCGGCTCCTCGACAGGCTCCTCATCAGCGGCCTGCGGCGCCAGGTGGAGTGTTTCCGAAGAGGTCTGCTCCGCGTGGTGCCCGAGGAGGTCGTCCTGAGGATAGGGGAGCTCATGACCCTGAAGGAGATCGAGGTCATGGTGTGTGGGGCCGACGAGGTCGATGTGGACGACTGGCAGGAGCACACCCGCTACGAGAACGGCTACACCAAGGACTCGCGTCCCGTGCAGTGGTTCTGGGACGAGGTCAGGGCGATGACGCAGGTCGAAGAAGGAAACACAGCAAGAACCCAAACATTCACAGATTCGCGCTCATGCCCTGTATCGGCTATGGACCCCCTCCGTGGCGCGCTGCGAGACGACGATCACGACGACGACGCCGCAGATGACGCCGACGACGACGACGACGAGGAAGACGAAGCCAAAGACAGAGGGGTCGCCAGGCGCTGCAGGCGCCGCCAGTACAGAGGCCTGGGGGCGCGCCCATTCTAGGAGGAAGCGTCCAGGGTTCTGATGTGCCAACCTCTTTTCACTTGATCGCCGAAAAGAATTTCGAACACCAAGAGAGTACCGAAACTGGAGGGTTTTCGCGTGTCGGGCACTGGGAGGCGACACTCGTTCGAAACTGTTTCGATTCTTCTCTGGGTGCTCGAAGCTGTTTCTGGGATGTAGTCCTTAAGTAAGATGGGAGCAACAGAAATCCAGGGTCTGGAGCCTCCTGGGCACACTCCAGAACGAACGCCCCCACCGTAAACACGGCCTCCAGCCATTCGGACAAGAAACAACGGCAGAAACGCCACGAATTCCTCGGCGCTCCAGGCGGATTTATCGCATCGGCGCTGAACCCCCCTGGCGGCGCCTCCGGCGCCGCCCCAGGCGCGCTCCGCGCGCCGGGAAGGGGGCTCCAGCGCCGATCCGAAAAGTCCGCGCGGCCCTCCGAGACTCGTTCTGCTCGTGGCGCCCTTGGCCCCCCTGACAGGCGGGCCGCGCCTCGCTGCTCTCCTTCGCCACCGGCTCCACGCAGGCGAGCGGCGGAGGAACACGGGCTCGTCGTCACCGACCTGCACGGTTTCCCCCGGGGCCGTAGGCGACCCGAGGAGGGGGAGGAGGAGGAGGAGGAGGAGGAGGAGGAGGAGGAGGAGGAGCAAGGAGGAGGAGGAGGAGGAGGAGGAGGAGGAGGAGGAGGAGGAGGAGCAAGGAGGAGGAGGAGAAGGAGGACGAGGAGGAGGAGGAGGACGGGTCGCCTAAGCTCCTCGGAGAAACCCTCCACACCGACCTGGGCGCGCAGGCTGCCCGCGCCTTATATAGGGTCGCGCGCGGGCGCCCTCGCTTCCGATGCCAGCGTGCCGCACCGGCGGCCCGCGTGAGCCACCGCGTGAGGTCGCTTTGCCGTCTCGCGCAGGCACAGTGAGCGGCTTGAATAAGGAACGCTTGCTTTTCAAAAGGGGCTCGGTCGTTCCTTAGGCTTGCGTGCGTTATTTATCGTTCCCTATGCGTTATGTATTATTTGTTCATCGTTCCCTATGCGTTATTCCTTGGAAGAAAGGGGCTTCGTTCCTTATTTATCGTTCCTTAGGTCAGGCCGATGACTGTAGGGCCAGTTCCCGTCTTCGCAGCTCAGGTGCCCTCTGGCGGGTTCCGCTTCCTGCAGCCGGAGCTGTTCACGGTGCAGCGGGTGGCCGTGACGGACCGGTGCCCGGAGGCCCACACGTGCGCCAACACCATCGACCTCCCGGAGTACACCTCCAGGGAGGAGCTGAAGAGGATCGAGCGGCGGCGGGCGCCCTCGGATGGTGCTTGAGCCACGGAAGTTTCCGCTCGTCTTTGGATCTCCTCCTCCTCCTCCTCCTCCTCCTCCTCCTGCTCGTCCTCCTCGTCCTCCTCCTCGTCCTCCTCTTCCTCCTCCTCCTCCTCCTCCAAGTTGTACCGGCGAGGAGCGCCCAAGAGCGCCCGATGGCGCCGCACAGCAGTCAGATAGCGCCCCAGAGCAACCAACGGCGCCCAACAGCGCCACATGAGGGAGATGCAGCGTGTCCGCTTTGCGCGCGGCTGGGCGCGCGATTGGGCGTCATGGGGAGGGCCAGCAGCGTCCGTGAGTTGCTTTCTGAGCACTCCAGACTCTGACGATGCGAGTGTTTCAACCGGCGGGTTTTCCTTGAGTGCAGCCCTCTGGGGGTCTGTTGTCGGTCCCTGGGGGCATCAGCACGGATCCGGGACGAGAGGTCGACCCTTGGGAAGGGGTCGGGAGTTCCCATGGGGCCACGGGCGGAGAAACACAGATCCGTGTGTCAGGGGGCTGGCGACGCGGCAGCAGGGTTCGCAGGACAAGGGTTATGATGCGCCAACCTACTTTAGCCTTGACCACCGGGAAGAATTTCGAGCGCCCCAAAGAGTACCGAAACTCAAGGGTTTTCACGTGCCGGGTCCTGGGAGACACTGTTTCGATACTTACTCTTTTGACAGTTTTCTGGGTGCTCGAAATTATTTCTGGGATGCGGTCCTTAAGTAGGACGGGCACAACAGAAGACAAGGGGTGAGGGACCTGCCGAGAAGCTCGTCCGCTTCTCGGGAAGCGTGGGGCGTGCCGTATCTGCGGCAGGTTCGCGTCATGCCGACGCGGCGGCGACCCCGCCGCGAGCGTTCAAGGCCGATCGTCGCCAGTGGCCCAGACTCGGCCAATATGCAGCGATCTGGCGATCGAAGAACCACCGATCGTTCGAGGTCGAACGAGCCACACGGTGTCAGAGACCAACGCCGGGGTCGTCACTGACACGAGCCTGCCGTGCAAGGACCGAAGCCTCTCCAAGGGGCGTCCTGCCTTTGCAGAGGGCTGCCCGCTCCTCCTCCTCCTCCTCCTCCTCCTCCTCCTCCTCCTCGAGCTTCGTGCCCTCCTCCTCCTCCTCCTCCTCCTCCTCCTCCTCCTCCTCCTCCTCCTCCTCCTCTCCCCAGCGCCGCATAGCCCTTCGTTGCTCGCCGCCCGCGGAGGAGGCTGCTGTTCGCCATCTGGGAGACTGGCGACGCCTTCGGGCGCCGGTGAGTGCCTCGACCGTCGTTGTGGGGTCGGTATGTTCGGGGGTGGACAGACCTCCTACCCTGACACGTCGATTGAGGAATTGGCCGTTTTCGGTTCGCGAGAGGGCGTCCCGGCCGTCATTTTTGCGGGTCCAGGTCCGTCGGTTTCGGTCCCAGGCCGTTTTCACTAAGGGGAGGTCTACTAAAGGGAGGTTTGTCCACCGCCGATATGTGCCAACGTTACATCACTTTGTTCGGCGGCGCGCCCAGGGGGGAGGGCAGAGGGGGCGGGCCTCCTCAGAAGCCACAGAGGCTGTGCTTGGTGTCCTCAGCGTACGTAAGCCTGAAATGCTCTGCTCGGCATCGTGGTGTACAGACAGAGGGAGCGGCGCGCTGAATCATACACATATCCTTCATCTGCCTTCTGCCCCGCCTGACTCATCTCCTTCCAACTTCTTCACCTCCTGGCCCTCGTCCTCCCAACTCATGCTCCTCCTGCTCCTCTTCCTCCTGCTCCTCCCAACTCCTTCCTCGCACTTCCCCCACCCCCTTCTCAAGCTGCACCCGTGTCCTCACCTCCTGCTCCTGCTAGGACTCGTCCTTCGCCTCCTCGTCCTCTTTGTCGTCGTCGTCTTCGTCCTCCTCCGCAGCCTCTTCCTCCTCCTCCTCCTCCTCCTCCTCCTCCTGCTCCTCGCCTCTCCTCTGCCGCCTGGCCGGCCTGCGGGGCGCTTGCCCCAGCGGGCCTCCGCAGCGGCCCGTGCTCCTCGACCCGAAGGCCGGACTGGCCGTGAAGGCACGACGGACGGCGACGACGACGGCGGCGGTCGACGACGCGTCGCCGAGGACGCCCGAGCCCCTCAGGCGGCCTGCGCGCGACCGCCGCCGCCCCGCCCCCCTCGCGCGCGTGCTTGCGCGCCTCGGTCGATGGCCGCCGGCGTCGGCCCTCCCTCGTCCGCCGGTCGGAGTCGGCGTCGTCGTGCGTCGTCGGCTGTCGTCGGCCGCTGTCGGGCTCGGCGCTGGCTGTGGCCGTCGTCGTCGGCGGCCGTCGTCGCGAGCCCGTCGCCTTCGTCGGTCGGGGTCGTCGTCAGCGCCCGTCGTCGGCGTTGTCCGTCGTCATCGGTTTCGTCCGCCGTTGACTGTCGATGACCATTGTCGGGGTCGTCGTTGCTATCTCTGTCTATAGATGGTGACGACAATGTTTCCAACGTCGTGATTTCTTCAGCCGGCCCCCCTCCCCAGGGCCAGCATTCCGGGCGCTTCCCTGTGGAGGGGCGGGCCAAGTTTGGGGGATCGAGAGCTGCAGGAAAGGGGTCACGAAGGGGCACCCCGGGGCCCCGCAGGTGCACGGACGGCGCACCTGTCTTCGCCTCCCCTGCCTGGCCCCTCCGTGGAGCGACCCCCGAAGCACACGCCGCGACTCTGCACAGAGCGCAGCCCGGGAGGCCCCCTCCGGGAGGTGCCCGGAGAGCTACAGTCGGGGCCCTGAAGAAGAAACCCTTTTCGTTGGGGAGGGGCTCCGTGTTCCTTCATTGCTTCACAGTTTGCCTCGGGTTTGCCTGTGGTTTTCGATGGGAAGTCGAAGGTCAACCTGTGGAACATAGGGGCCTCATTCCTTATTTAGGGTTCCTCAGGGCAAGGCCCCGACTGTATCCCGAGAGGCCTCGAGGCCGCGAGGAGCGGCCTCCTCGGGGAGAGGCCCCCTCCGGCGGCCGCGCGGGCCCCGAGGGGCCGAGGGCGCCCGCGAGCTCGCGGAGCACCGCCGTGGCAGGTTCGCGCCGCGCCGGCGCGGCCGCGGTCCTCGGGCCCGACGACAGGGTCTAGGCCTCCTAGATGGGGTCGGGGTAGATGGGGTGGGAGGATCGCGCCGCATCGCCGATGCATCGGCGATGCATCGGCGATGCGGCTCGATTTGGGGCCCATTTTTATCCACGCCGACGTCGCCAGTGCATCGCCGATGCATCGCCGATGCATGGGCGATGCATCGCCGATGTATCGGCGATGCGGCGAGATCCTTCGACCCCATCTACTTCGACCCCATCTAGTAGGCCTCTACAGGGGGGACTGGGATCAGCCGCCTCCGGCGCCGAAAGGCGCAGGGAAAGTCAGCTGCGCGAGCTGATTTTCACCCCCCCCCCTTTGCTATGTATCCCTCCCTTCCGCCCGGCCCGAGATCCCGGCGCGGGCGTGCCAGGTTGGGCGCGGCCGGTGGCCCAGCTTCGGCCGCTGTTTCGGGCGCGCTGCGCTGCCGGAGGGCCTCGATCGGTCAAGATTTTGAGCGGTGCACGCAGTGTTAAGTCGGGCCTGTATCTCTACGGCAGGAATGTTCAGAAATAGTCGAAAAATAGTCTGGGGACGATTGCTGGACTATGTTTGAATATTTTGGGGGTGTTTTTTGATTATGTTCCCCCTTGCAGGAGGGCATGCCCGACCTCAACGTAGTGGCAGAAACCGACGCCGAAGTCGTCACTGCACGAGCCTGCCCTACCACTGCCGCGCCAGTCGGGCGACCCGAGTGCTGCTGCGGAAGAAGCACCAGCCCTCTGTGCAGAATGCAGCTGGCCGACGCGCCGACGCGCGCAGTCTGCAGGACGGCGCGCGTGTCGCCGATGCTCCCCCGACCTCCGCCGGCCCGGTGGTTTCAGCCCGCGGCCCCAGAGCTTCCGACCCCTTCCCTGGAGTCGGGCCTTCCTCCCAAGGAGGAGGAGGGAGGAGGAGGGAGGAGGAGGAGGAGGAGGAGGGAGGAGGGAGGAGGAGTAGGAGGGAGGAGGAGGGAGGAGGAGGAGGAGGAGGAGGAGGAGGAGGAGGAGGAGGAGGAGGAGGAGGAGGAGGAGGAGGACGCCAGGTCCCCTGTCTGGTGGTCCTGGAGCCCGATCACGGGCCCCAGTGGCCACCAGAAGCTCGGGCCGGGCGAAAGGGGGGGATTGGGAAAGGGGGGGGTACGAAATTCGCTGCGTGCAGCCGGTTTCGGCCTCACCGAGGAGCCCATTCCTCGATACATGGCCGCCTCCGGCGCCGGGAGGCGCCGGGAAAATCAGCTACGTGAGCTGATTCTCAAGCCCCCCCTTTGCTATCCCCCCCTTTCGCCCGACCCGAGAAACCAAGGACAAACGCCGGGGACGAACGAGGAACCAGCTCGTCCGAGGTCCGGGTCCTGCTCCTCGGGCTCGACCCTGGGTCCTCGACCCTGCGATCCTCGACCCTGCGATCCTCGACGCCGTCGAGCGGCCTCGACCCTCGACCCTCGACCCTGCGCGCGCGGCGCTGGCGCCGCGCGTGGCCGCCGAGCGGCCACCCGCGCGTGCGCAGGTGGTGCCGCCGCTGGAGCACCTGGCCGAGGGCGGCGTGGCCATGCCTTCGCCGACGGCGGCGCGCAGCGAAAGCGTCCCCCTCCGCGCCGCTGCCGCCGCTGTCGCCGCCGCCGCCGCCGTCGGCGCCGTCGTCGTCGTCGTCGTCGTCGTCGTCGTCGCCGCCGCCGCCGCCGCCGCCGCCGTCGTAGTCGTCGTCGCCGCTGCTGCCGGCGGCGGCGGCGGTTGTCGTCTTCGGCGGGGGTCGTCATCGCCGCCGCCGGTCGCCGTCGCCGTCGCCGTCGCCGAGGGTGGACGAGCGACGGCAGGTGGACGCCTCTGCCGCACTGCCCCATTGGAAGAGTGGCCCCCGCGGGGCCGCCGCGGCACGCAGCGCCCCCGACACCTGCCGGTATAATTTGGGTCCACCCAGGCCGGCTCGCTTCAATTCCTCCGATTCGATTCGATTCGATCTCGATGGATTCCGATTCCGACTCGATTCGAC